TACCTAGTACACATTTAAATGTATTTTATTTTAACGGTTTAAAAAACCCACGCCGTAGTTAAAATAATTTTTAGTGTTTAATAAATAAATTTCGCGTTTTAAACCGTTAAAGTGTTCTATCTAAAAAAATGAGAATCATGTGCAGGAAGTAAAATGTGTAATTTAAGTTTAGTTTAGCTTTTCCATTGGTCACTCAAAAAGGTTTTCGGTATATATAAATCACAAGTTCCTTTACTATTGTTTAGTCTAAACATCGTTTTAAGGACGTAATTCTTCATCAAATCGACTAATTTGCAATTTTTTTTATATAGGAGGGATAAACATGGGGTTTATATAGAAACATGAAACCTCAGCTATCTTGATATGACCAATAATCTCTGTCGACCTATTTCGGCTTTTTATTCGAAAATCCACAGACTCAAAACAATATAATAAAGTCAATCTATCTCACCAATAATTTAAAAACGCAAATAATGTAGCAGTCGTGGTCACAGGGAGATAATTATTACATTATTTGAAGTCAGGAGTGTTTATAATAAAAAGAAATTAACTATTTGATTTCGCGTTTAAACTACAGACAATATTTTAGTATATATGTATTACTAGAGACCATTGTCCCTTTTCCCCAATACTTATCGTTAACTTAATGCATCCCTGAGAACGATCGAAAGCATTATCAAATATTTTCTCAACTTATTGATTTATAGCATCAGAACATAGATCCCACCTCAACAGGAGGCGTTTTACACGTGCGAAATAAAATATCCGCGGCCTACTCGCTATAAATCAGGCATTTTTATAAATAGGCATGTTCGAGTGGCCGTATTGTCGCTTTATAGATGTTATGCCATTCATTACAGGCCATTAAACGTATTATAATAGGTTCGCCAGTTAATTGTGACCCACCGCTCCCTTCCCGGCGTCCAAATGTAGAGTCACGCACGCATATTGTGAGGCGAGAACGGGGCTCGTTGTAAAATGGCCGAGGTACTTTGGGAAGCTTTGTTTGGACCCGATGCGACAAGCCATTCAGATATCAGATAATAAATGGTGAGTGTTGATAGAAACATGGACAATGAACGGTTCCGTGAATGTATCTGCTCTTATTGAAGAGTTGAATGGTCTTGAGGTGGGATGAAGGAAGATCGAGGTTCAACGGATAATTCTGCGTGGTTAACGAACGTATTCGTTTGCACAAGAAAATTAAAACAACAACTATAATCGTTTAGATCAGATAGACACGGGGGGACGAGCCCCCGCGATCACGAAATATTTTAACTATTTGATTAAGCATCTAATAATAAATATTTCATGTTTTAAACCGTTAGAAATGTTTAAATAATGTGTTCAATAATTATAGAGCTTCAATAATATGTTAAAACTAAATATAAGATAATACAAGGTAGGTATATTCTTGAGAACTACTAGTAAATGTAAATTATTTTATTTCTTACCTTCTTTCTAAAATAAATGACTTCTGGTTTGATTGTATGTCCGTTTGTAACTGTACTTACAAAATGCGTTGTTAGAGTTACACAATATTTTTAATAAAATCTACGCATGATTTGCATAAGTACATCTAAATATTATATTACTATAATATATATAATATTACATACACATATAATATAATATTACTTCCGACACAAACATTAACTGAAAGGTACAAACAAGTGAATTATACTAAAAAAAAACCCCCCCCCCCCCCCCCCCCCCCCCCCGCGGGGGGGGGGGGGGGGGGGGGGGGGGGGGGGGGGGGGGGGGGATATTTAGGTAATACTTATAGCTATTTGTATACGTTGTAAGTACACAACAAATTAAAAAGAAATACTTATTCACCATACCAATATTTCAAATTCACGATTTTTTTAAGGAGTTGGATTTTTTATTTACATACAACACACACTATGTTACATTTTATTTTGATTGTAGGGTCTCGGTGCATACGATATTGTTGTAAAAATCATAAAATATGAAATAAGACATCTAGCCCACAATCCCTTCCACGAACATCTGTCGTCCATTCATCGGCGCAAGATTAATAGTTTTTATTCATTCCGATCTCACTTTTAGAAAAGTTTATGGCGTGGAATGAACAATTTGCAACGCGAACCGACTTTCATTGTGCCCTGTAGAGGGCGTGACCGCTCGGACACAGAAATGCGCTCGAAATATTGTGAGGTTCATATCCAAATATTTACTTACGAGAAAACTTTTATTCCCAAGAATTCCATTCAAAATGTCCAAAGAATTGAGGGAGTTATTGATGACTTATTTTTTTAACTAACGATGTCGTTTTAAATTTTTACGATATTTTTTTATTACTACCTTTTGTCTAATTTTCTAATATAAGTTTTTTTTATGATAGAGGAGAAGAGACTAACATAGATAGCATTCAGTAAAGTACCCCTGCCATATAATGTCTTAAGTACTATTTATGTAAATAATTATGTATTTTTGATAATAAATATATCGATTAGCAACATGAACCAATGGGTATCTAAACCACGATACGTTAATTTTTGACCATTGAACCCGTCAAAATTAATAAAAATATTATACAAACTTTTTTTTTTAATAAATTAGAAACTGTTTGCTTATTTGGTCAAGTTTTTGAATAATGCATGAATTTATTGAGAAGATAATACATACTAAATGATCAATGACAGACAGATATATTATGTTATAAGAATGTACATTTAGAATTATTTTATAACTTATTATGGTAAAAACAAGTGAAACATTATTATTTGCACAATATTTAATTTTGTCGTTAAACAGCGCCATCTCCAATTAGTGCTGAAACTAGAAGAGTTTTAAAAAGCGCCCTCCCTACTTTTAATACTAAACGTCATGCGTGCACCAGAAATATTTCTGAAAGTTGTTTCGGTTCCTGTAATAATTACTAGATGGCGCGCAATCCCTAATTTTTAATTTACAAAACAATTTACAAAGTTATATTCACTAGATGTCGCTTTGAACCTTAAATTTTAATAGTTATGTCAAACAATTTTTATAAAAAATCGCCTTTTTTATCATATAAAATTCGTATGTACAAAAGTATTTTTATAGAAGAATAAAAAACTTATTTAAAGTCCAAATAAATAATAATTTACTGAGTAATTAAAATATTATCGTTACATTTAAACAGATAAATTATTACTTATTCGTATATATATATAAAATACCATTTACAATAACAAAGATAGTAAATTTGGAAATGTGTATTTTTGTAATTTCCAGTGCATGGCAATAGTATAGGCATATCGTGATCTACAAAATATAAATACTAGAATAGAGTACAATGTGTGGCCTTGTCGCTGACAAGCGCTCTCTTCCAGGCGACCCAAATTCATGCAAAAATACCTTATTTTATATTATGTTTGTATTATATCGTTGCTTTGTTAACAACCTCACTAGATCACGATACAGAAATATATATATATACATCACATATTTATACTTTGTTGTAGATTACATTGAAATGAGTAGGTATACGTTGAGTATACAATTTCAGGCACGTGTCTCGTGAACGGAGTTGGGCGCAACAAGTCCTTCGTATAGATCGTAGCATTTTTCCCGCGTGCTGTCTTGAAGGCGGGGCGACACGCCCAGCCAAGCGTACGCCCACTTGTCTTGAGACTACATCCATTCCATCTTAAATAATAACCTTCTACGTGGCAAATTGTCAAACTGTTTCCGACTACGAATGTTATCATCTGCAATAAACCGGTCGGTATTTCCTTAATTTCGTTCTAATTATATATTATCAAATATCCCATTAGTGGCCGTAGGTATTCGCTAATTCGAAAAACCATTAATCGACAATGTGGTTAATATCTTTACTGTAATTAATAATGCGGTCTTTGAGGCTTGCATAACCCATAGTGAAATTAAACATTTGCTTCATTAAAGAAAAGCTTTCTCATGATAATTTATACAGCACTGGACCGGAAGATCGTACTCCGTAATAGACTACGAAATGAAAAAGCTCATTATATTTTCTCTTCGACAATGGAGCTAAACAAAAATGTTTAATGGTACAAAACTTTCGGGTGTCCCGCTCGCACGTACAGTGTACGCGGTGGGGCAGAGCGAGAGGTCGGCTCCACAAATTTTGCCGGCAAATGAAGCGTGGCCAGACCACAGATTGACCGCAGAGGATGGAGGCAACGAGTGACAGAATGGCGGCGAGTCAGTAGTACAGAGTCGCGCGGACGGTAAACACGCGAACAGCCTCCGAGCACGCTCGACTCATCACGGCTCGGACGCGGTAAATACCTGTGGCTGTAAGCTCAACACGCTGTTTACGAAACCCATATGAGCTATTAGACCGGCGCTGACGCATCGCGCGGGAAATCTCGCACGACTATTATCGCAATCAGCTGATATTGACAGCGAAAAAACACGTGCGCGAATCCGTTTTACGATTAAGTTATTATACTCTAAATAAGTTCGTGACTCATAAAATGACGAAAGTTAAGTTGAAACACACGTACTCGACGTTGGCGTTTATTTAGCGATCGCAAGTTAGTTAAGATATGATAACAATGATCTCGCAAAAGTAGTGACTCAAAAGTTTTTCAAATAAGTGTCAAACATACAGGAAAAATCGTTGGATCACTGCCAGACGTACGGCGAGGTTTGTTTTTATGTTTCCAAGACAATAACTTAGTCATCCGATTAAAGGACAGACGAAGAAAGCGACTGGGAACAAGCATAAAGGCACATTTCTACTACGACACTTGAAATACAACTTACCGTGCAACAAGTGTGAAGGAGATTCTACTTACGAAAGTATTCTTTATTTAAACAGTAGAATCTTATTGGTTTTAACTAATTTAAATATAGAACTGAATAAGAAAAGAATCACATTAAAACCGCCAAATTTAAAAATTCAAATTTGGAAAACAACAAAATCTCTACGTATTTAAGCTTGCTACGAAGGAAATCAGGGCTGCCAGTATTGAAACTGCCAAGGTGTGGAATGCGGGTGTAAGATGCACCTGCCGTACGAATCGAGGGGTCGTCGGCGGCGCGAGATGGCAGACATCGAGCCATGGTGGCTCCAGTCCATCATTGACGAAACCCTTGGGGAGCATCCTGATCTTGGTAAGAACATATCTTTGCTTAATCAGCTTCTAAGTTCTTAACTACAGTTCTGTACAGGTCTTTGTTTTGAAAATGTTTTAAGAAAAAACAATTTTTTTTTACTGTTATTTATTGCATTCATATTTTTCTACATTCAATAATTAAAACATTTTAACTTTATAATATTTGGAATAACTAGAAGAGTGTTTGGAAGAATTACACTCGTGATCGTCACCATCACTATCTCTTTAACACTCATTGACAAGGGAGCGGTTCAACCTGACAGTTGATATGTCTCACAGGTGAACTAGTGGTTCAAATCATCATGATAAATAAATAGTCAGGATTTCCGACTTCTGTTTTGTAGGAACTACAATTTTAAATGAACAAGGGTGCTCCATCCTATGTTACCACATCAGGTTAAACTACTTAAAACCAAATGCTGGCTTCTCAAGAAAATCTCAAGACCATACTAAACGAAAGCAATTAGCATAATGATGCAATAGAAAAATAATAATAAATAAAAGTTTTATACACAGCGACATTTCTTAAATCAAACGTGTTGCCAACCATCGAGTTAAATGGAGAGGTTCTGAATTCGATCCCCGGGAAATGAGAATTATGTCAGTCTGGCAGAGACAGTCAAATCAACTACTTACTTATCAGTGAAACGGCCACAGATGTGTGTTCGCCCCATGCCTCATAAAAAATAAGATTATACAGTTTTTTTTGCAATTAGTTTTTATTGTGACAGCTTATATAAACAATAGACATAGTAATCATACTGCAAGGGACAAAACAACTATCTATGGTCCCGGATTACAAATTATTTATACCATAAATTCATGATTACCAATTGGTATCTAAAAACTAGTGTTAATGAACTAATGGTTCGTGATTAACAGCTTAATTTTCAATCGCCATGGCGTTTCCATGGAGATTGACAACGCTCATTTGCGAAAAATTTTCATGTATAAAAACCCGGTGATATCCGGGGTCAAGTTTGACCCGGATACACCATACATGAATAAAAACTCCTATTGCGGTTATAGATGAGAAATGTGGTAAGTAAAATTATTATTAACGGATATAATTCATCTCATGGGGATTTAAAATATTTGGTATTCAAAAATAGTTTCCACCAATAAAAATTATAAAAAAGTACAAATGTATCTTTGTTATGTTTAAGTTTTGTTGTTCGATTTGAAAACCGCACTTTAAATTCTTTCTATTTATATCATAACCAAATTTATGATTTAAGTAGTAAACATTTTGCAATATCGTTTCCATGGTAACGTTTCTTGAAGAGGCTTTCAAAGATTTGCACCAGTTAGATAATTTTATTAATTGCGTTTGCATTTCAATAATTCTTCTTTACAAAACATACATATTTTTTTCATGATGGCACTATATAAATAAAATATCTATTATATTTTTTTTAAAATACGAGCAGGATCTGAACCGACATCTACGGTATTCCAGGAGAGCATCAGTACGGAACGCTATGGATCCTATTTTTTACCTGCCCGTGTTGTAAATTTTTTCAATTTATAATCGATGTCTTATTACTTTTTGTTTTTTCTTATGTTATAAAACAATTACTAATAAAGTACTACCCTATATAGTAGTTGTAGTCTTATATTTCGATGGAAACAATATTTATTTGGAAAGAAAAATTAAAGTGTTCATATACAAAAGACTTCAACGCTGTCGCTCAACAAATTCACTTACAAAAATGTACAATCAGTCCCAGGCTTTCCAGCAGGAATTGTAAATGTAAGTGTGTCTGTCGACGAATCCTATAACAATTAGCCCAACTGCGAGTAAACCCAACTGACAGAGGTGCACTTACGGGAATGAGAATGTTGAACGCGACCTAATGTGTTAGTTCATTCTGGACAAGCATTTTCCACCGATACTCATTTTCACTAAGTACAAAGAAGGTTCTCTCGTGTAGGTTTGCAACGAACATTGTTTTACAAACATTTTAAACATTTATAATAGCTGTGACTAAGTAATTTTAATAACAGAGACATTGATTGAATTGACTTCACACGCTGTTTGATTTCAGTTTTATTAAAATTTATATAAATATTTATTATACACTAAAATAAGGTTGTTCCTTTCTTTCTTTTATAAGTCGAGCAGTTTTTTTTATGATAATTTTAAAATATTTGCTACATAACAAAAAACAACGTTTTATTGTGTTATCTTGTACTTGTTGCGGCTTCAGCTTACTAACCTAACATTTGTCTATGGCCCCAAGACATACATGTAGACATCACAAAAGTAACTTTAATATTTTAATGTGAAAGGGGACTTGTCCTTCTAACCTACCGATATAAAAAACTTAGCGATAATAAAAATTAAGAAAGAGCTATCGAGCTAAGAATATCAACGGGTGGTAGCTTTGATCCCCACCAGGTCCAGCATTTTTCTAATCAATTTATGATTTTTCTAAAACATGTTAGACTTTATCAGGATATCTGGATATTAAATACGTGGTAGGAACGTCGAAATGACGTTCGGATCACGGATCACCGTTCACGGATTAAAAGCTTTTAAAAAAAACACTTTAATGGTTTAAAACGCGATATATTACTTATTTGAAAATAATTTTTAACTTCGGCCCGACGTTTCGGATGCTTTGAAGCAGGTTCCCCGTGAACGCTAACGTCAAAGTGTTTTATTTAAATGTGTACGTAAACATAGCGTTTTGGTAAAAGCTAAATCCGCGCAATCCGCGGATTTCCGAATACCCAGAGTCAAAAATTTTCGTGACATCTAATTTACATATATTGATATTTTACCTTCCCTTTAAGTGATCTCCATGCTTGTCTATCCTTTTCTGTCATTAAAAAACCTTCTTAGATAATCCCATGTTTATAGAGCTCGTGTCTAACAGTATTGAATTTTCACTGTAAAGGAGTAGATAGTATAAGTTTAAGCTTTCCAAACTGAAATATAAGTACCACTCATCCCTCACCGCACTTACCTGAACCATAATTTGTGTATCAGCTTCCGTAAATAGAGAAACCGCAATTACACCGACTGATTTTTTCCATTCTGCTATAAGTTTAAGTTTCCGAATAATATGTGAGACCGCAGCTTAAATATAAGTATTTCTATGTTTTATAGAGAATAATAAAATTACGTTTTCTATTATAAAAAAAAAGAAATGATCGTATATAATACCCATTTAAATAAAACATGAAGAATGATTCTTCGAGCAACCGAGGAGTTAACATCTCCTGATGATGCAGTCCGCACGTGGTGGCGAAACGTCGAGAACCTCTTCTCGCTCACGTCGGCCGAACAGCCCGAAAAACAATGATATGCCGAAAAATGCAATATAACTTACACAATTTAAATTTATAATAGTTTAAAACGCGAATTTTATTTCGTAACTAATAGAGCTGCGCATTGAACTTGTTTTATGTAAGCATTAAAAAGCAAAATAATGAAAAATAAGAATGAATTTGATTAGTGCCCGAAATTATAAAATCTTCAATAATATATAACATAATTAATTATAAATTATAATTATAATATAATTTAATAATTTATAATCTAATTTAAAAAATTCGAAACACCTGCCTATTATTTTATTCTTTTTATAAAATTTAATTATTTTAGAATAGTATTAAAATAATACATAATACGATTCTTTTAATCTATTGAGATTTAATCTTCTTGAAGATGATAAAATTATAAATATTGTAGAATCTAAATGTTAAATACATGTATAAATAACCAGCAGCTATATTTCCTTTTAATAAATTATGAACACAATATTTAACATCTCAACATATGCGGTAACTATTTTGGTATTTGCGGTAACTAAAAAAATTATTTCACCACCAATTCAATATACAGTCTTTGATTAAAAAAAAACATACTTTATCAAATGACAAAGTTAAAGATAGAAAATTTGAGTGAAATTTTAGTCCACAGAATGTAGATAACTTAATGGTTAGTTTGAAACTGAGAACAGAGTATACAATGCGCGTTATATGTTAACATAATTTAATTATTAACTGTTTTCAGTTTTCCTTATTGAATCTTCTACAATATTCCAATTAGTGACTAACCATGCGTTTGATTATATTATCGGTTAAAATGCGCCTTATTTATTTTAAATACAAGACAATGACCCAATACTGGTAATTATAAATTATCTGTGTTGGAGCTTATTTTAGCGTCTTCAAAAATAATAACGTAATTTATTTTTAATCTGTAGTCCGAGAGGATAGTCTGCGCATATTGTGGTAAACATTTTGGTTAGTGCAAAATCGAACTAATGTAATTTATAAGTTATTTTTATCTGATTTTAATAAATTAATTGATAGTATAAATAACTATTCTTCACTGTGCTCGTTACAACAATCCATTTTATACAGGCATGTAGTTGATAAGACGTCTGTGCCCTATCCGACCGAAATAATGTATTGTTTCCCGTGATTCGAACCTACGAAGTTCTTTTTATTTCGAATAATGATCACGTTTTTAATTTTAAATAACACAAACTATCTTTTCGACAGTTCGTACCGGCAGCCCAGATTACATGTGCTCGATGCTGCCTCAGCATTGGCGCTCCAACAAGACCCTACCTGGCGGATTCAAGGTGGTAGCTTTGGGCGAAGTCATGGATGGAACTCAGGTCACGGTCCGGGCTGGCAACGACGAGAACTGTTCCGCAGAACTTCGGAACAACACGGCGGTGATGAAGAATAGAGTTGCCAAGTTCAACGACCTTAGGTTCGTCGGGAGAAGCGGGAGAGGTAACATATGATAAAACATTTTTATATATAGTTATATGTATAAAATAATTAGTTTTAGACCATCATACACATATTACATACAAAAGAAGTCTTGTCCGCATCGTGATATCTTTAAGTAGTTCTAAATTATGTGTCATTCGTGTTCCCTGACACATTTATTGTTTGGCAGCAGTGTATCGCTACTAGTCAACGGGCCCTGGGTTCGATCCCCAACGGGTCAAAAATCATTTTATTCATCTTTATGAAGAATGATGACTATTGGAAATCTAGATATTATTATACAATAATAATAAGTGAAGAATATCAAAGCCAAAATTGCCTCGATCGACAGTGCATACTGTTTAAATGTTATGTGGCTATTTCACCTACTATCAAGTGACCCCATCTGTCTCCTCCATCATAAAAAACACAATAACGGACATATATCTGTGTCCGCTTGATTAATCGATAAACTAAGTATGTACTGCACATTAGAGTGTGTAAGTTATGCGGCTATGCGTCTAAATTTAATTATCGTGTAGGTCGTATGTATAGAACACAGAAGGTAGTTAGAATCGCAGATAATTGGTTAATCTGGCGGGGACAGCCCTGATTTGCATTGCATGTAATAACGAGCCTATGATTTTACAGCTCAAATAATACAGCTAATCGCTATCACTACATAGTATAAAACAAAGTCGCTTTTTCTCTCTCTATGTACGCTTAAATCTTTACAACTACGCAACAGATTTTGATGCGGTTTTCGATATAAAATGATTCAAGAGGAAGGTTTGTACATACAACGTTTATAGCTTTTCTGTAATGTATTTAGTATCAGCATTGCACCCGAGCGAAGCTCATAACCTACATGGACGCTAATACATAATAAACATTTTAAACAGATTTAAATACAACACTCTTAAATGCGAAATGTTATTTACAATATATTTTAACTACGCCCCGACAAATCGGATGCTTTACAGCAGACGTGGTCACTGGATCACAAGATGGAGGGTGTAATAATGTCAAAGTTAAATCTGTTATCTGCTATACTAGCGCCATCTTTCTCCTCGTTGTTACTATTTGAAGAAGCCAGCAGAGTCCTTATAGAACTGAGAATATACTTTCGGTTGCGGTATGCCATTTTTTGGAATCTATTTTAAATTAAAAATCGATTTGACGTTGAAAAAAAAATTACGACACGGCCGGGACTTGAACCGGCATCCTCAAGGTTACGTACTCTACCACCAACCAAATAGGAATCTAGTTTTTTTTTTATTTAAATGTATACTACTCGTGTACCAGTACACTTTTAAACAGTTTAAAACAGCTTTGTCTGTAGTCTCCTAACGCGCCTGTAAAGCATCCGAACTTTTGGGTAGTAGTTAAGAATTAAACAACTAATGCAGTCACATTTGGAGCAGTTAAAACGTGTTTTAATTAGAAGCTACTATTGTGGTTAAGTAATTAAATATAACAAACGCAACATTGTGTTACATCATTGATGAAGTACTGGTCTTATCTTCTGTCTTAAGTTATGCGCGTGTAACAAATCATTAAGGTAGCATGAAAATACAGACATTATTTTACTTCTTAAAACTCTTGTTAAAATAGAAACAAAGTTCGCTCTAGAAGAGAGGTTATATTGCATTATTAATTTTGCCTTATTATATGTAGTGACGTTTCATTTATACTAATATAAAGCTGAATGGTTTGTTTGGTTGTTTGAAAGAGCTAATCTCCGGAACTACTACTTCAAATTGAAAAACTCCTTTTGTGTTGGTTAGGGCATTTATCGAGAAAGGTTTAGGATACATCACTGCGACCAATAGGAGGCAAGAAACAGTGGAAAATGTGGATAAAACGGGGAACATTATTCACCTTTGTGAGTTTATGTTGCGTGCTCTTCGGAAACCCTTCAATATACCTAAAAAATATATTTGAAAGAATTATTCGTTGTAAAATTATCTAAAAAATCTTTATGGCGGCATTATCTAAAAAAAAATATCTTTAATTATCTATATCGCGGACACGCGGAAGTCATCGCTAGAATTTATAAAGATGTGGCTTGCAAAAACAAAATTCGATGCCTAAAATAACTATTCTACGTGGTCGAAGTTGCCCTGACAGCTAGTAAATAGATAAAGATATATATTTTAATCTACATTAGCTAGAAATAATGACAGATACACAAAATCTTCACTTAGAAGACATTCTCACTTTCTCCCCGCAGATCAAGGCAAGATTTTAATTTCCAAACCGCAGGCTGTAAACGACGTTCGCACTTTACTGTTCCATTGTGCTGCGCTGACGCAGCCGTCCGCCATTACCGACCCCCATGTACCCACGTTATGTGAAGCAGTAAAATCTGAGTATTGCGCGTGCGACTTAACCGTACAAAAGCTTGTAAATAATCTGGCGTGCCATACGAATATACTATTTCTTTAGTACCTACGTTTTTCTTGGCACGCATTTTCTGATTCTCTCATTGGTTGATTGTCCGTTTGAAAAAAATAATATTATTCACATGTTTTTTGCACATGATTATTAGAATTAAAAATCGATTTTTAATTTCAAAAAATTTACCACATGAGCAGGATTCGAACCTGCATTCACAACATTCCGTGCTTTTGCTCTAACCAATTGAGCTACTGTGATCAACATCATCCATTTTTTCAACCTTTGATACATGATTTTCCAATTTGTTAATCTAAGTCCGACATTTCCTTGTAAAATTGCTTATGTCAGAAATCGGCAAACAGTTTCCGAATTCAGTTGTATCGAGCCTAGAAAAAATACGCCCAAGATCTTCAGAGTAAATGGAACAGCCCGATTCTGTTGTCCTCCTTAGATGGTGGACAAAGTGGCCTGAATCAATTGCGTAGTAATATTATACTATGTCTATTAGGTGTTACTAGCAAATTGAAAAATGTTCATGTTAATATAAAACTATTTTTTTCTTATGTCATTATTATTGTTTCAAAATAATAACAAATTAAAATTTCGTAATCATGACTGTATTAACCCGACTATTAAATTAGTTTGTCATTTCGCATTCATCGCAGTCACTTGGCAGGTTTCAATGTAATTAATACCGTGAAACTTGACAGAATTATTCTTGTGAATTAAGTAATAATAATATTTAGGTATTGTGTTACTGAGAACGTGACATTTCTCATTTGCATACTTAAAATCTATATGTTATTTTAAATGCTTTTATTTGTGCACTTAGCTCTAAGGGGTGTCGGTTTGCGACTTGGGAAAACAAAATAAAATGAGTTGTGATCTTAAACTACGGGAGCTTACGCAAAATTACAATTAGGTACTTCAAATAAATAGTAAATATATTAATATCATATGTAAATAAAAAAAATGTACTTTGTTCTCTATAAAATTATTAAAAATTATTACGTTCGTCAAATAAAATATTTAATTAATATGTTTCTCTGTCCGTTCGTCGTGATTCTACAGAATTATGGCTGGTTACATAAGTATCCTAATATAAAAACAAAATTGTGTTCTCTTTCGCGGGTCAGATTTATCTCTCTGTCCGTTTTTATACTAATTTCATTTACCAACCATTGTCTCCAAAAATGTTCATGTACGATCGTTTACAACTTTTCAAGTAATGACTTCTTATAGGTAGTTAAACCGCTTTGTTACGTAACGCGTTATGGCGCCAATTTGCCTGGCAGAAGGGATCTGTCTCGTTTCAAGTTAATATTAAATACCACAGCTTGAATTACTTTAAGTTATCGCCTCTGTAGTGATAAGACGCAATTATTTTTTTATTATACCTCTCGAATAGCTTTCTAATGATAGAGGAGTTCAGACAAGCATGGGATTCGCTTGATGGTGGGTGATATACTCCAACCTTCATGCTATAGCATCTATACAAGATGCGCCGACGACCTTACTTTGGATATTGTTTCGGTTTCAATCTGTGGATTTTCTCCACAGATTGAAACCGAAACGCGATTAAGCTACGGTCTTTTCATCTGTGGACGGTTGTTCGTGACTGCTCGGAACCGTTCGGAAAGTATTTCTATATTCCTACCACCCATATAATATCCAGATTCCCAGACGAAGTCTGTTCGATGTTTCAGAAAAATTACCTAGTGGGGGTAGAACCCGTTGATCAATAACCATAATAGCAATACGTTGCTAGTCCAATGAGACCGTTTTTTTTTTAATTAGCGTTTGTATGTGTGAGGATTTAAAAATCTCAAATATCAAAATCAGTAGTGATTGCGACGTGATCATCGTCAGATCAGTGCACTTCAATGGAACTAATTCAAATTCTATTTGACAACTGGAAGGGTTCACTCCGGCCAGGGATCGATGTCAAAATAAAACTTATCTCAAAGGATGTTGTGATATCGATAACTGATTTGAATATCGACTTTTTTTGTTTAAAAAATTCACACAGACATAAGTAGGTTTAATATTGACGATCTGTTGTAAAAAATGTTATGCATATGTATATTAAGTACTTAAGTATTGTCTGTAGTTTACGCGAGTAGTATACATTTGAATAAAACACTCTTAACGGTTCAATACTGGAATGCAATTAACTTATTTACAATTATTTTCACTACGGCCAGATGTTTTGGATGCTTTGCAGTTGCCGTCGTCCACGAGTCCAAATAAGTTAAATAAAACTTTTACGTTTTAAACCGTTAAAAGTATTTAATTTTAGCATGTCATTAAATTTCGATTTATATCGATTTGTATTTCTGTTAGTCTGTGTTTTCATACTTATTTAAAAGTATGTATATAAAAATACCTAAATGAGGCAATACCTATAACATATATAACAAAATACCTATTTGGTTTAATGTTACATTTAATGTTTTTATTTTTAAATGCCTTTTAGATTATTTTTTTATAAAATGAAATGAAATACAATATAGTCGATTAGGAGTAGATAAGTAATTTGGGACGCGGCAAGTAAATGACATGACCAGAGTGTGACCAAAGCATTTTGTGCGTCATTACCATATTACTGAGAGCGTAAGAAAAAAATATTAAACTTGTAAATTTAAGAACAGTAGACTTTCATTTGTTTTATTTATTTTTATCATTTTGTATTTACTGAGTTATAATTTATTCTACAGTATTTTAATAACGATAAATTAAAGAGAAACAATAGTCTACGGAATGATCGAGGTGGCAACTGAACAGAATGGCTCTGTAACGCGTTACATAACGAAGCGGTTCCTTCAAATGTCCATAATTTAAAGGATACCACAGCCTTTCATCAAAATGTTAAATTCTATGTTTAGCTAATATTATAATGTTTGTTCAATATGAAACCTCTATTATGATTTAGTCGTCACAAAATGTCAATAGCAACGCTTATTAGTACCCCGCAAAACAATACCGCATGTCCCAACTGATCGTATGTAGCCCAAATGCGTCAACGCTCATTGATCTAAGCCAATAGCCAAGCGTTCCACCGCAAACGATTTTCCTGAAAAATGTGTCGCGTACGCGGTAAATAAGAATCTCGGGCCTCGCAAATGTCACTCACGATTTACGTTCGATCGTAAATCAAGATGGCCGCCTCCCCCGGCCCCCATGCGCCCGCGTCATAATTGAATATTTCACGCGCCCATCTCAACACCTTCCAAGCTATTCGGCTACAATGTTATTTTACAGCTTCGCACATTGTGTTAGCTAAACCGTTGATGACTGATCTTGTAGAATGCATTAAGTTTAATAGAGGTTTAAAATGCAATATTTCAAATCGCGACACGCCTTTGGAGTTAGCGACCAATGTTTTATGATGATTTGTTTCCGTATTGAAATGTATACGATCCTCATTCGCTCTGATGCTGCTTTGTGACGAGAAAGCGACACCAATATTGAGATCGAGGAACATTGTTGAATGCAACTGCGTGCGCAGGTTTTCTTAACAATTTCCAATCGAATGGAGTACATATTCTATATATATGAAGAGTTTATTAAGCCGTTTAATGCGGCTTTTTAATGATATATTTTAGCTCTAGATATTCGGAAATCCCCAGACTGAAGCCGAAACGTAATTAAACTTGACAGATTTTTCACCTGTGCACGGGTGGTGGACATAGCCCAAACAGAACTTCGATATTCCTACCACCCATTTAATATCTGAAAGCAGACTTCCAGAAGTCTGACATATTTCAGAAAAAATATAAATAGATGAAAAAAATGTTGGACTAGGTGGGGATAGAACCAACGACCCGTTGATATTCGTTGATATACGTTGTTATCATTCCACCAACAAGCCCGTCAACGAATAACTTACCTATTAAGTACCTAGTTGAAAAATGATTGTAAAGATAGAGGGCTGTCCATTAATCACGCGAGGCTTGAAGAGGGGGGAAAAAGTTGTTTGATAAAAATCACGAAAATAACACAAGGGGTGACGGGGGGTGTAGTAAGATGATATCTCGTGTATTTATTTCGTCAAACGCGCGATTTTTAAACAAACGGTGTAGACATTTTTTTTTTGGTCCTTAATTTCCGGATAAAATAAGATTATATGTAGTTTATACCTGTACTTAAATTAAGATTCTTTGTAGTGTACTAAAAATACACGTGATGTTTAGAAGGGGCCTCCCCCTTCCAAACATCACGTGTGTCGTGGTCTTAAACCTCACTACGTATCACCAATGGGGGCGGGGGGGTTAAAAATGCTAAAAAAAGATCATGTTATTAATGGACAACCCCTAGGAGTAAAAATCTATGACTCAATCAAAAAAGCGAATGTACCATATTAACATTTGTATGTAGGAACATACAATTTATAGAAATGTATCATAATTATTTATTAAAACTATTCAATACTTCAAAGACTATTATGCACACTAAAGCAAAGTCAATTGAAATTTAAAATTGACAAGTCTTAACACGACCCCCGCATCAGGAAGCGAGTATCAGTATCGATGTGAACCGCAAAATTTCACAGCTCCGCTATAATAAACGCCGCCTACACGAGGGAAGTAAACACCGAAATTAGAAAAACCCAACAACAATATTATACCGTATGTCTGAAACATTTTCAGTTTTCCCTATAATTCGTTATACTTGTTAAAATACCGAGTCCTGCTAACCACACTATATAAATAACATCAGTTTAAGTAAGACGTAAGTAAATAGATGAGGCGTGACTGCATATTATAAGCTGCATTAAAAATAATAATTAATTAAGGTTTATAAAGCAGATATTATATTTACTTGTTCCGCATAAACAAATATGTTATAAGCTTTAAAAATATGAAAATTTCTATAATTTGCGACGTAAAGCATGGTAGAAGATACATTTAAAAATATTTATTAAAAAACATACAGTATATGTAAATAAAACTCGAACTTCATTAATTTACTTCGCAAGGTTAACAAACAATACATATATTATAATAAATTACGAAAGGAAAGTTTAATCGCATGGAATAGATATTGTATGACTGAAATTTATATTTCTATGCGTATAACGCAAAAATTCTTAACCGTGCGATCCCCCCGATCATTTGACATCGCGAAAACTAATTCTAAATAGGCAGAAATCAATCATTTATTGCCACTAAATCGAGTGCGCACTACACGCGAATTATCTGCATTAGACATGTTAATCCACTCATTTTAACTGTAATTTTATTCCGTATTTATCGGTGCATTCATTACTGCCGACCGCAAATCGGGTTCCAAAAAGCTCGCTTATTTCCATACACGGCTATGTACGGGAATTTTGTGCGCGGAAACGTCATTCAACAATATTCAACATTAACGTGACCGAAGTCTCTAATGTATTTTACAATCGGAATAATTTGTGCGTCCTGCTTTTACGATCTCGGCTTCATTTTTAGATCGCCTGGGGGGAGATTCGGAAAATAAGGTGCCATCTACTTTAGAGAATTAAGAAAATGTCCTTACTTACGAAAAAGACCGTTTCAATTAGTCCAAATGTTGACCCACATTATTATAAGATGTAAGTAATATATTTCTTTTCTGCTGGACACAGAAGTGTCAATTTCAGTGATAAAATTTATTCATTCATAGCAGTCCTCCCAAACTATCCAATAAGTAACTCCGTTACTCGCGCCTGGTATATGCGGAATATAATAACCAAAGAGCCAAGAGGTCGTCAGTAGACGCTCGAGTAGCTAGTAGACAAAAACCTCTTAGATATTAGAAAATATCAGCTGTTGTCATTAAGAACAATTATGTATTTTTAGATAAACCTCTGACGGTTTAATAGGTAACACTCCCCTAGACCCTATGATCTATGGTAGCAGCTATCTGCTGCATAGCATCCGAAACGACGGACGTAAACTTCATACAGTATGCAATTATATGCTGTATTGTGTTATAGATTTTTTAACTTTCCAGGGAAAAGCTTCTCCTTGACGATCACGATCTCAACGTCGCCGCCTCAAGTAACAACATACCAAAAAGCGATCAAAGTAACCGTCGATGGCCCGCGGGAACCGAGATCAAAGACTAGTAAGTTTTTATCTTCTTTAAGATACAAGATTTACAGCCAAAGATATTCATTTAGTATATTTTACAAATAAAACTTATATACCACATTGGAATGCTATGGGCGGCCCTATCGCCAAGCGATATCTTTAAGGACCTAAAATGAGATGCATTCAAATAAAACAATATAATCTTGACTAACCAATCGATAGAAATTAAGCGGTCGTATTCTTAATTTTATTTAAAAGTACAATATATGGTACCAAGGGTTAATACAAGAAACAAACAAGCTTAAATAAATTATTAATATATAATAATATGTTTTGCTTTCAATTGCTAGCTGATCCTATCTCAACCTCATCATTACATATAAAACTAAATTAAACAAAATTGATTGAACACATCAATAGCTGGGGGACAATTTGTTATTATTCGATGCCCTGTACAAAAACCGCACGAGCGACGTAAACAATTAAAATATATCAGTTCTATAAATGCGTATGATTTTCATACGTAATACTATGATACAAACTGAATACATAGAACATAGAACAGTAGCGATGTACTGGAAAAACGCGCATAAAATTTTTACTATTATAAATTTAAACATACAAGTACAATATAATAATACTAGACATAATATAAATTTATAAAAAGTAACATACGACAGTATTAATGTTAGTAATTAAGAATAAGTAAATCAGGTCTCTTTTAATTGAGGATGGAGAGATCCTGTCGACTGACTGTTGAACCACTGAGGAAAAAAACATTTAACTATTTACAGATTTTAGCTAACCATAGATAACCAACACTAGGAACCAACATTAGGTATTACAAAAATGTACATTAAAGCTCTAAACTAACGTAAATTAGAATTTTGCAACAAAATTTTACAAGTGCTGCTCTAAATATGTAAAAATCTGTATTCATCAGTTGTCTTATTCTCCATATAAATATAATTTAACAACAACCAAATAGTGATAACACAAAAACTATAGAACATCAAAATGAATGTATTCTGCGTACCATAAATGTCCAACTGTAAATTTCAATCTGTGCAATACGTTTGTGACACGACCACTATCATTCGCGATAACGTTTTCTTCCCACGGGACTTCGTTGATACGATTTGGTGAAGCAGCGAAGGACGCCAGAGAAATAGAGATAATGAGGAAATAACAAAAATAGAAATTATAACTAATGTTTTTACATTAATCATTTGCTTTACTTACCTTCCATGTTATTCTAGAGTAAGTACTTACAACTTTTTATCTAGCTCCCGAGAGTTAAAATTTATATAAAACGCTTTTTATCATTTAAAAAGCTCATTACCGCGAGTTTTTGTGAATCTGTTAAGAATACATTTAATTCTTATTCTTTATTGTTATTACTTAGCTTCTTATGTAATGTATCTGTTTCCCATTGCTAAATGAAAACATAAATATATACTTGTAAATCATTAAAAAATAAAGCCTCAAAACTAATGATTGTATATATTTGTCTTATTTATACTAATGTTAGCAGATTGAAACGTTTAAATAATACACTTTAACGGTTTAAAACGCGATATATATTAGTTATTTTTCAACTAAGAAAAATATTTTTAACTTCGGCCCGACGTTTCGAATGCTTTGTAGCAGCCGTGGTCACAGTGACTAAATTAAGTTTAACTAATATATATCGCGTTTTAAACCGTTAAAGTGTTTTATTCAAATGCGTTCTACTCGCGTAAACTACAGACAGTTTAAAACGTCTTGTAGGTATCACGTTTTGAGTAATCAAGGCAACGAGATAGATATTTTGTATGTTTGTATTTACTACTCGTATTAATCAAACATTATTTGTTTCATCAATCAATATATTTTATCGGTCAAACATGCATATTATTATAGAAACTAATTATTTACATTTATAAATAAATGCTTGGTCACAGTTTATTATTATAGAGTTAAGACTGTTTTTAGTGGTTTGTGAATGAAATTGCATAATTGCAGTAAATAACAAGTCTTAATAATTTAATAAGCCATCGAATAATGTTTATAGCTATTGTAAAATACTATATACGAGCGACTAGAATATTACGAACGACTTTTAATTAACGATTAGCTGTTCTCGCGACTTCTTTCGCGTGGGATGTTGGAGCTGGTGCAGTTATTATGGGCATCGAAATATTTTCTTTTTGCAAAGGAGGAACCTCATCTCTATAAATTTATATATATATTGTTACCCACGACGTCGGTCGTTCTTACAAGGTAATTTTGAAAGATAGAATAATGAATGATTGTAATGAATGATCCTTCATAAATGATTTTAATAGAATGATGAATAGATTTAGTCAGGTTTTTTCTTATTGCCTTCTGTTTCTTCGCTCCTATTGGCTGAGGCCTAGTGTTTTATATACCATGGGCCTTTCTCGATAAATGCTCTAACCAATACAAAAATATTTTTCAATTCAATCAGTAGTTCCTGAGATTAGCGTGTTCAAACAAACAAAAAAACTCTTCAGCTTATATTGAATAGTATAAATAGAAGTTACGCACGATTTAGAATGTAATTTTTACTTAGGTATAACTTTAGCTCTCTTACCTTCGATGCAAAACTTTAAATATCTCAAAACTTCATGACCATTATAAAACAGTCGGTGAATGCCTTCTACATCCGGAGATAGACTTCAAAAGACGTAGTATCGAAATTGTTTGATGAAAACGTTACGCCATATGGAGTGAAGCCGGCGGCAAACAATAGCGAAATTATATCTGTAATAAGTCGAACTCACGCACGTACACAACTGCTGTATCACCTTTGTGCTGCGAACGACATCGACAGACAGACGAAGTTATATATAATATAAAACATTCTACCAATTTACACAGTATAGTTAACGAAATCACATGAAGATGTGTACTTAGATAGAGAATTAAACACTCTTGCGTCAGGTTCTAGAATTATTATTATTTAAAAGTATATTTTCAAATACATAACCCGTTATTTTTTTAAGTCTTAGTAACGGCATAACAGAATAACGCGTTCCTTTTTTAAAAACATGGTTACTAATTGCCAATTTAATGAGGTTGTATATCATTTATCGCATTTAACAAAAACAGATTAAAAACGCCCCAGGAATACCAGGAGCAAGCTCTAATAACGCAAATGATCCTCGTGACGCGTGCGAGCGACTAATCAGAATAAACAAAAGCAAATCCCGCTTACAGTACAGATAACAAAGAGTGTAGGGTACAAAAGGCGTACTTAAATCATAAGCTTCAAACTGTAAAGGGCAAGAAACGAATCGCTTGCACAAGGGACTTAAAAGTTTGACTTAATAGACTTAATTTGTAGGTGCCCCAGTGTAAGCCGCTTCGCAGCGACCCTTGTTAACAGTGCTGTGCGAGCTTCCTCGGCTTATCGAGTATCGATATCGATAAAACTGTGTATTAGCCTATTTTAAAGTGGTAGCTAAAACGTGGTTCTTTAAGACGTAATAATAGGGGTTTAGGTAAAACTAGTCCATTATGCATCTTAAGGATAAATAATGTATTATAATAATAATTGTCATACAAGGAAGAAAAGAATTCATATCCGGTGAAGTACCTATAGTAATTAGTCAATTATATTATAAATGATATAGGAATTATTGAAAGGAATCATTTTTGTAGTGTGTTTAAACATATTATTTATACTGTTTTTTTCATCAAAAAAAACATAGAACACAATATCATCTACGACTTGAGACTCCAGTACGTAACCGTAATTAAATAGAATGAATATTAACGAAGTAATTGACAAACAATCGAAATTATTGTATTTTTTTCCCGGGTATTCAGCTAATATAATTGGTAATTTTCTTAATCTATTGCTACCTTGGAGTGCACGTTAAGCTGTCGATCCCTGTTACTACTAATTTAGTCCTTAAAGCCCACCAATCTGGATTCAAATTTTGTATATATTTAACTCTGTATTATATATTGAGTGTTTTATTGAAAGATTTCGATAAGTACTACAATAGTAGCTCATCACTAAACCACAGTATAACGATTAACTCCCTGCATTTGTTTGTGTCGATTTCACAAGATAATTGCATCGATGTATTCGTATTGTGTAAACTCATAAACTAATTATCCGCATCTATTTTTTTCGCAAACGAATAATTATGGCGGTGCTCTCAAACGGGCTTGCAGGCCTATCCCTATTATTGAGGTACAAAAAATGTTACCTCTAATAAGGTGATTGACACACGCGTATTTATTTTTGATCCAGGAAATGCAATTTGGCTATTCTCTTTGGTCACGGAAGTTAGTAACACGCGAATAGACGTTTTTACTTTAAGAAATTTGTTGTACTGGTTACGTTTGTTCTGTATTTTGAGATTATAGTCAGTCCAAAGTCATGATCAAAATATAAAATAAGTTGATGCTGAATATTTTCAAATACATATTATTATGTATTAATAATTATATTTTAGTTGCAAGATGCTTATAGTTATTCTTTACGGTTTTTGAAATTCGAACTAAATACTTATTTTGTGAAACTGTGTCATATATATATTTAAAAACAGAACTTCATTTGAAATATCATAAACTTAAGCTTTTTCTTAGCTAGCGTTGTCTATTATGGTCTTTAACGCAATAGGTTCTAGGTTCGAATATCGAGGAAACTATAGCTTTAGGCGGGCAGTGCAAAGAAGTCGGATGGAGGACTTGCCTTAAAGCAGAAACTTCTTTATCTGATCTACCTAAACTTCAAATTTTACAAACTTAATCATATTATTATCCATATAGCCATACAAATGACCTTTTTTTCCCAGGTACAAATGCATCACCACACCAAATAAGAACTATAGGATTCCAGAGGCCGTTCATAGCAAGTACATCTATGTCGCTTCGAGATATAGAATACAAATCTTCACCGCGACTTCGGTCGCTTTCTCACGAAGAACGAGAGTATAAGACTAACGCCAATCTACCACCGGAAGGTAAGTCATTAAGTTTAGAATTATTATTAACTGTTATCTACATAATTAAGTTAGTGAGTAACTTGTTTTATAACAATAGGGTTCTAGGCGATCACTTCGAAGTTGTTGAAATAGTTCTCAAAACAAAAAAGACTGCCTCGTTGATTTATCTTTAGTAGTGTTATCATCATTTTCCTTAGATGAAAAAATGTCTTTAAAACCTGCCTACAAGCACTAAAAAGCGTTGTGGGTATTTTAAGCCTACATAAATATGGTAAGTCTGGTGGTTTAGTAGTGGGACTTAAAAAGGCTTACATCATATACAAAGTGACATATCAAAATGAGAACTCATTCACCATATTTATTATAAGTCCACAATAATATAAAAAAATACTAAAGTTAAGAACAAGAATCTGGGTAATTGTCTAAAATTTATTTCAAATAAAAAATATCGAGAAGGAAGCCAAATTCGCGACCCTGTGTTCTGGCAGTTGTATCAATCGAGCTTTATATTTATTTTTTAATCTAAACTATATTTTAGATGTATATCGTGTGCAAAGTAACATTTTGATTATATTACTATTTCCTAATCCTCCACTTACCCAAACGTAGCTTTCACATAATTAGGACTAAGATGTAAATGTTCTAAGTAGTGAGCTCACTAAATGCATTCACGCTCATTACCATTACTTCATTCACAATCACGATCTAACCGACTACCATCTTATTTGTAAACCTACCACAGTCTTATGAACATTTTAGAGTCGACAAATGAAAATAATATATTTATTAGTTGTTGCTCCTGTGTCCAACAAACAATTACGAAACATACATCTGCATAAATTTAAAATCTATTTATAATTATCTTCAAAAGCACCGATCACGAATTTCAGTTCCATGTAAAAATATTTTTGTATCAATATAGATATTTTACTAAATCTTTTTAAATTAAAAAATATATTTTTTAAATTATGTAGTAGTAAGTTGATCTATAGTTTGAAAACATTAATATTGCACATGAAGGCACTATATAATTAATTTAAAAATCGAAAATAAATTGAAAAAAAAAATTCTACTCGGACAGGACTTGAACCGGCACCGTCAGCGTTCCGTGCTGTTGCTCTACCAGTTGAGCTACCGAGTCTTATGATCTATAGTTTGCAAATAAGGATAGATAGTCTTCCTAAGATCTTATACTGATCAGTATATGCTGGTAGGATGCCCTGCTTAACAGAAACTCATAATGTACTGTCTGCTCTAGTTTACGCCAGTAGCACGCATTTAAAATAATCATTTTTAACTGTTTAAAACGTGACGTCCTCTCGTTGCTTGGTTTCCGAAAGCCATATACATACTGACCATATCTGAAACGAATGAATAAATTAAACTATCATATGTATTTTGCGTTTCATACAATTAAAAGTGTTTTAATACACTTGTTGTCATATTTTTGTGGGGTGGACCCATCACGCATGTGCCATCATGCATTATACCACAACAGATACGTTAGGAACATTGAACATCGTAAAAAAGGACAAAAAAGTAAGGTATTATTTTCTAAGTTTATTAAAAATCGTGTCTACGAGTTGTTAAGACTGAGTTCATAAGCTTTGGGGCGTTTACGAAGCAATCCCGGCAGCGACTTTCATCAGCACGATGCGGCAATCTGCGCGCGCGCCTAATGACTCGCATTACTCGCGTTATTAGCTCTCAGACTTATGACAACTCTACCTGATGATTACCAAATGAAAAAAATAACATGCGTACTTAATTTTCGTAAAAAAAGCGTATTAGTTACATATTGATAATAACGGTTTGAAACGTGAGATATAGTTATTCAACACCAGAGTACATATACAAAATTATACTATAATATTAGTTATAATTAATTGGTTACAATTAACAGACATAAATTCTTTGCTGTTGCTGCATAACAGATTTGGTGCAGGCGCTGCACTGCTGTTTTCACTGATGACCCTGAATTAGTGAATTTGAAATTAATGAGGAATCGGACAACACAAGTTCAAATTAAAAATAAACTACTATACATAAAAAAAACTAAGTATAACTAATTAAGTGTTTTATTTTTAATGCACAATATTATGTATTGTAAAAAAAATACTTTGTAACAATTTTCACAATAGCATATATAATTAAATTTGATTCAAAATATTAGACAATACGCGCAGTGGTACGGTTGAGGCGGTACATTGTAATCGTTAGTTTGAGTACTGCCGGTGTAATAACTTTTTTTTCTTATCATATAATGTTTTCTTGATTTTTTATGATTGCCATCATTTCTTTCGAGTTTACGTTGCGTTATTGATTATCAACTAAATATTCCCTCGGCGCAAACAGTCACACAAGATTGTTCAATGCAGAATTGCCTACTCAAATACGTGTAAACGGGGATGCCGTGGGTCCAATCGGAACAAGCCCATTATAGATGATGGAACACCTTGCCCAGCAAAGCAATCAACCGATATTCAATACACAATGCAAGTTCAGTGCTACTTTAAATTCACTATTGCAGAAGTTTGTAATACTCGTAGATAAAAAATTTAAAACTTAGTTAAACTTTAGTTTTCGTGTATTGTATTGGACATTGTTCTTTTTCTGTGTTTTTAATAACGCGGAAATTATTGTTTGGTTTATTTTTAAATACGACCCGTCGCTTCGAATGCCGTGCAGCAGCTGTCACGAGACACAGGGTAATTCATACAAATTAACTAATATATTTTACGTTTCGTCTAAAACCTTTAAATAAATGTTAATTTAACTTTGTACTTTTCGCGTAAAGTACAGATAGAACTTAAATGAGTTTATTCAAGTTACTTAAAATATTAATAGAAGGCAAATAAATGTTTTTAAATATTTAATAGAAATGATAAATTGATTTCTCGTTAACGAAATTGCGTTTTTTTTGTCATACTTTATTTGAAATTTAAAAATATAATATCGTAAACAATTACAACGTTTTTCATTTTAAATGTGTCAGTTATAAACATATTATTATTTGAATTGTAATTAATGGAAATTTCCTTTTTGCATCGCTTACTGCTATCGGAATAACTGGTTTTCCTAAACTAATGGAACTGACTTAAAAGGTCAAAGGGAAAACCGTTCGAATGCAATTTGTAACTTATGTGTAACCGATTATGTATTTATGTCTGCCTCCCAGTAGGTATGTATAAATAAAGAGTTTATACGTCGTAACTCTTTTTATATAGGCATTTTTAATCTATATCCATACCTATTTATAAAGCTGAAGAGTTTGTGTTTGTTAGAACGCACTAATCTCAGGAACTACCGGTTCAAATTAAAAAAATATATATCTTGGTTAGAGCATTTATCGAGGAAGGTCACAAAACAATGCCCTATTACTAATACAAGCAAAGGTACAGCGAGAAATCTGAAAACATTCGGAAAAATATTCACCATTATGGGTTTCTGAGGTGTACGCTGCAAAAACGGTTCAAGATACCCCAAAAATATGTATGAAAGAATTAATCCTCTTCAAATGATCTTTTAAGATTAACTAGCAAGAACGACGTGAAGGGACGTGACCGACGTCGTGGGTTAGGTTTATAAAGATGAAAGGGTTTGCAAAAACGAATTTGGATGCCAAAAATAAATATTCTTAGCGGACGAAGTCGCTGAAACAGCTAGTTCATAATAAAAAGGCAAACCTAGTGCTCTATGTTGTGTAAGGACCGTTCCTTCCACTTATAAACAAATTTGAGAGATTCGGATGTTATTGACTGAAGATCTAAGCTAAACAGTTTTAATTATATGGGGAAATAATTTAATTAAAATAATCCATAATTATATTTCCCCATTTAAATATGATATGTTAAGACTATGTATTCAAAATCCTATATTGCTTCGCAACATACGGTCCAAATAAAATACTCTTACCGGTTCAAAATGCAAAATACGTAAGTTAAACTTAAGCTTAGCCCCGCGAGAACACGGATGCTGCACAGCTTTCAAAAATTCGGGTCTTAGTTAAAATAAATAGTCAATAAGTTAAGTAATTCGCGTTATAACCGTTAAAAACAATTTTATTTACATGTGTACGACTCGCGTAATAACAGACAATACTTAACATTACGGTCGTAAGTCTTAGGATGCTGGCGAGTCAACGACCTGCTGGATTGTCTACGAGAGAAAATAACAATAACATCAAATGCGATCATGATAAAAAACGGACGCCGCGCCACTCAGTCATTACAGCAGAAATATGTTTAAGGAAATGGAAAACGTAGATACTTCTTGTACTTAACTAAAGATTTAATTAATTTAAACTTTACTTTGACTTAACTACTTTAAACAAATTACATTACGTAATTTAATTCCAAATGTGACAGTTTTATAGTTTTATGTTTAAAACCGTTTTATTTGAATTTTATGAGTGCCTCTCACGTAAACTAGACACAATACTTAACATATTTAGCAGACAATAGACAGGCCTATATAGTTTATTATAAACAGCTATACACATTAAAAGTGAAATTTTTAAAATTTAAGAAAAAAAATTGAGAACATGACGTGTGATTTCCGCTTATATTTCTTAAATGATAATACGAGCATTACTTAATAATAAGATATATGACTACATAGTATCAAACAAAGTCGCTTTTTCTGTCCCTATGTGCGCTTAAATCTTTAAAACTACGCAATGGATTTGATGTTTTTTTAATTGATAGAGTGATTCAAGAGGAACGTTTTTGTATACAACGTTGACAGTATTCTGTAGTGTATTTAGTATTAGCATTGCACTCGAGCGAAACCGGGCGGGTCGCTATAATAGCGACATTATAAACAAGATATCAAATAGGCTAAACTTATAAATAAATTAGAATTGAAATTGCTGCATAAGTGCTGCTAACTCGCTAATGACATCTCATTATGAAACAGTTGATTACTAAGCGAACGATTGAATCATTCACGAATTTCACACCTATTAGAGACAGTTGAACGAATAACCGACGTTAAAAAAAATCAAATTGAATGAAGGT